GGATTAATGTAGGACTTGGCAGTGCTGGGTTAACAGTCAGACTCTATAATCCTAAAGGTCTTTTCCAAGAAACAGTTCTATGATTCCATGATTTCCAGACTTTTAAACATTGTTTACAAAAATGTTCAGCTATCAAAACAATAAAGACCATATTCATCACTAACACCACCACTTCACATGTGCTAAAAGCACTTTTGATACAAAAGGGAGAAAAAACTTTGCAACTCTCAGACTGAGAGAAGAAATGTTAGATATGGTCTCTCAAAAGCAAGACAAGATGCACTCAGATGAATAGGATTGCAATAGTAAAACAAATTCATCCTCCACTCACAAAGCACTGGGAGCACAGTACTAGGAACAAGAGAGGCAGAACAACACAATCAAGCCAGAGTACATCTGCATTTAAGCTAAATCATCTCCTTACTGCATTTCAAAGAGGCAATTCAGCCAATGTAAACAGAAATTAAGCTCTGCTTTCCACTAGATCATAATGTAAAACCAACAGAAACAACCATCCACCACTGCAGGCAACACTGGAAGAACTCACACCTCTCCTCATTGCTATTTCAAATGTATTATTCAAATAAAACCGACCAAATTACAAAAGCCTTTTTCGTGTAAAGTGACACAACAAATCCATAGCATTCTGAATTGCCAGAATGCCAGTGTGATTTTGCAGGTAACTTAACACACTAACACCTACAAGAATTCAGAATGTACCCACTGCTAGCACTTCCCAAAAACAGCACTAAAACAAGGATTTTCCAGATGGGTAAAGCGATGGCACCGTGATGAAGTCTGCACCACTACTTTTCACAGCATATTCTAGGCAATTCTCTCAGCCCTAAAATAAAATGGAACAGTCTCCAGATTACCACTTTTTCAGTTGTCAGTCAAGCACACTGGTTAACCAGTTCTGGAAAATCAGATACACAGAAAAAAATTTTTAAAAAAATCAAAGTATCTTCAAAATAATCTAAGCTTAAAAAGTTAATGTACTTAAAAGTACAGTAATTCCTAATATATTGCATTATTTTATCACCAGCTGATTTTCTGTTTTTCTTCTCCAACTTACCCCTTTATCACTTCATAAATCAGTAAGCAAATAAAAGCCAAAAAAAGAAAAAGGAAGGTTTCAGCTTAGTTTTTAACACACACTTTTTTACAATGAACACAAGCTTAAGTCCTCAGAACTCTTAAAACTTTTCTGGTCACTATGTCAAAATAGAAGCATATTTTAAAAAATACTGACCATATTCATAAATAATCCCATTTTCATAATCTTTTATATAAAAATCACACCTTTTCTATGACTGTCACTTCTATATAACTGTCACTCTTTCCGGAGCCTTGCAGTAGTTTACTGCAAAGTCTAAACAATTTCAACTTTAATATCTTTTATAGTAATGCCCATTAACTCCTCTTTCTATGCTAAACAGAAGCAGAGCTACCTAACTCAGACATGTAATAAATAATTTAGCATCCATTATTAAAACGTCATATATTGCACATGTGCTTTCAAAATATTTTATCATAAATCTAGCATTCCAAGCAACCAGAGCAACTACAAACATTTGATATTTAGAGGATGGAGCTGATATGGTCTCTCAGATAATTTTTAAAAAGTAAGAGTATTCTCTGCATTGTGGACAGCGCAGCCTTAAAAGAAGCTTTGCAATTTAATGATGAGTGGAGCTTGGTTTCACATCTATTCCAGGAACTGTGACAGGGCACAGGAGCACACTCATCCTCCCTGCACAGCCTGGCCAGGGCAGAGGGAGCTCTGCCATCAGCCCCCCTGAGCGCTCCCATCCGGACATACGGGCTCCCCCTTGGGAATCAAATGACTCAACCGGGATGGGGACCAAGGGCAGGAGGAGAAACCTCTCACTGGATTGACACTTAATCCTAGATGGCATTTCTGTCATTTCCCTTGCCAGGAGGAGCAGCAGGGCAGCTTGGACACAGGGTGGGCCTGGCTGCCCTCAGCACACACAGGGGCTGCACTGCACTCCCTGCCTGGCTCCTGTGACAGCCCTGAAGCCACCAGTGGGCTGCTTGTGCCAAGGCAGAAAATATCTCCCCACCCACAGGAGGCATTGAGCTATTTATGCAGTATTTGGACTTTCATGTGATCTTTTCTTTTTCCTCAAATAGTTTTACCCAGGAGAAGGAAGAAAGAGGCAAAAAGATATTTTCTCATTTAAATATGCATTACTAAATCATAGGCTATCATTCTAATAAGTTTAAGATATATCGGTTTACTGGCAAATAAGTTTGCATGTGTATTTAACATAATTTGATACACATCAACATTCTGTAACCCTGGACCTTGTGTCTCTCCAAGAACAAAAGCATTTCACTTTCCATCATCTCACTCAAGCACATCATTTCAGTAAAAGCAATACAAATCTTCTCAACAGAATACATGCAATTAGGAAAATGCACATGGCTGTTCATGTAAGGCATGCTCAGAGTTGTACCCACAGAATCCAGCCCTATTTTTTGGTATTCACACATTCCACTGGTCCCTAAAAAGAGGGTGTGGCAGAAACAAGCAGAGGATGCAGGGCAGGGTTTACTGATGAGTTTAGGAGAGGCTGGAGCAGCTGCTCATCCATAGCATTAAGTAAAATCATAAACAGCACACGAAGGTGGAGGACCTCTGAAGGCAAACCTTACTCCACAGAGATCTCTCTTGCTCAACTGTGCAACACAAAGCACAAAAAAAACCTCCCAAACCAGCCCCCAGATCTCTACACACTTCTTTCATACGCAGCCTTGGAATAAACCCAGTTGGAAATCATGGGGAATCCCTGATCACAGGTAGACCGACTTTCTGTAGAAATCCATGCAAATAAATAAACTGGCATCTTATCAGCCTATAAAAATGTTACAACTGCCTCATATTCAAAAATAGTTCAGGGTTGTGGTTCTCAACCTGCAACCCAGAAAAAAAAAAAAGCCAAGCATTTACATAATCAGTTTATAAAGGCATATTTCTGAAGAAAAATTCCATTAAAGATCAGAATGTTACGTAATTACTGCTTAGAAGAGGATGATATAAATATTCCTATCAAATGTCCTTTGCATTATTTATTTTAGATACTTAGATTTACTTTAAGAGAAAAACAATAAGCATTCTGGTGTCGTAAGCTGACTAGAGATACTGTAAGTGCAAGCAAAATCTTGGGGGACAAACTGCACAAACCATTTAATGCTGCAATTCACTCATTAGGACAATAACTCAGATGTGTGCTTGATTTCCAAAACACCATGTTCAAGTCTGATCTCAGGGAAAGACAAGAAACTACAGAAGTATTCATACAAAGAACACTGTTCAACTGCATCTCTAATACCAATTTTGATTTCAGCAGTTCTTGACTATTTCAGATTCATGATAAAGGAGTAACAAAGGCCTGGATATATCTTTCTAAGGAGAGAATAAAGAGGAAAAAAGATTGAAATAAGGCATCCCAAATTTTCAAAGGGCCCTTTCTTCTAATCTAACTGCTTGGATAATGCGTCCAGAGTGGCATTTTGTAATGACAGCAACTTTCCAACAAATCAATAGTTATTTAATTCCCAACAAGCTCTCGAGTCCATTAAACCTGATTACATTCACCCATTTCAGTTGGGTGCAGTTATTTTTCCTACACCGGCACTTAATCTATAACAGGAACTTATGAGAACTTTCAAAAGCAATTTCAACATCAATCAGCATAGAGTGAAAGGCGCGATTTGCTTGTAATTATTTATTGGACAGGATGGCAGAGGGTCTGAGTGAGCTCCAGAGTCCGACCTTCACCCCCAAATTCTAATGGATATGAAGGCCTGCTGGATGTGTCTCACTGCATGGAAAGCAGCCTCAGCTCACACATCCCACAAGACACAGATTCCCAATACCTGATTAACGGCCACTGTGCAATGCTATATTTCTATTTTAGACATATGTGTCTGATATTAAGTCTGAAAGTGAAGAACACAACCCACAGTCTTCTATTACTGGAGGGATCTATATGGAAACCCACCTGTTTCATGCTGTGATTGCCCCTCTAAGGCAGCAAAGTGCTGGAGAAAAGGAGCACAATGAAGGTTTCCCTTTCCCTCACGGTTAAATTCACTTATCCCTAGCACAGCACAGAAATGCCCTAACACACGTTTGTGTCTTGACCCTGTCAATGCACAATATCCAACAGCAGCCACTCAGATGGTACAACTCCATCAGAACTTATAAATGTTGACTTTTCCTGGTGTCTTCTAATACTGTAAACAACAGGATACTTATTGCTTAATTAGCATCTACACAATCTATTCAGAATCCCAAGTCTAACAGAAGAAAGTTCAGTAGCACCACTTTTTGATAAAAATAAAATAATAGCAAAAGCAAACACAACAACGACAACCTGGTAGCTGCCAGCTGACTCCTAAATATACAGAACTCTTTCCCTGTAGCAAGATCTTACATTTGAGGGCTCAAAGGAATTAATAGGATGTGCATAAATATTCTTTGCAGGTGATATATTTCTATACACACAAAACCACAACCCCTTTTTCATTCCGTGGGACGCATAACATATGAATTAATGCATATTTAACACTATTCCTATTTGCTGTGCTAAAACACTTAACCTAAACACATCATGGTAAGTTACTTTGTCTTCTGACCTGCCGTGGGAATGCTGACTCCCTCAGAAACCTAGAATGGATAGCAAATCCTCTGCCCTGTGGTCAACCTCGTGAAGCAAAGGCATGAATGTTAAACAGCAGACAAATCAATACAAGCAAATATAGCTCAACTACACCATTTATTCAGCCATGAGAGATGTCAATACACAGATTAGGGTGATCCATCTTTTTGATTTCCTACTGTCTTCTCACTGACTACATGAGAGCTTTTGCCTGTATTAAAAGTGTTTGCTTTCTCAACCATAAAAATTCCAATTATTGCTCTAAGTGCACTAGAGTTAAGTTGCTTGTTGGAAGCGGCCTTGCATTACCTGAACAAGTCCAGCGAAGTATGGTGCTGCAGGCAGAATCATTGGCACTCCATAGGGATGTAGCAAAACTCCTTGAGACGACAACATGGTTTAAGTGATAGTATTACTCCCACTAAAGCTAAACACATCAATTGAAAGTTAGGGGAAAATCTATATACCAACTTCTTCCAAACTCAGAGCTAGAACCAAATAACTTCTGTCAGGGGCAAAGCCCACATCAGCTGTAAAAAAAAGAAAAAAATTGACGTCAGCAACACTTAATGTTAAAATTTTCTTCAGAGACAACAGATAGAGACAACAGCTGCAAACCTAACTCTACCCAAAAAGGAAGGTGCTATTTTGGGAGCAGCTTAAGTAACATGACTAGCCAACTACTCTTCATCAGTTCAGATTTTTAACTACTAAACACATAGAGATCAAATTCTGTACAGATCTACCGATTAGAAATAATTTTTCCTATCAGTTCTGGCATACACACGACAACAGTTACTATCAGAAGCCATTTTCAAAATAACCAGGTTTATCATGATAGCATTATTAGACATTTTCTTGAATTTATAAACTGCTAAACAATGTTCATGTGAGGATTTACACTTCAGTGTGTTATACTGGGTATATACTCTGGTTTGATTAATTATATTTTTCTTGTTTGTTTTGAATAAGTGAGCTAATGCAAGCTAACGACTTCTATTAGTGTAAATTATATTTTAATGGCTTTTCTAACCTTTCACAACATCTATGTTGTTAAATTGAACATAACTATTTTAAAAGAACACATTTTCCCATTAGAGTATTTCAACCCTGTTCTCCAAATCAACTTACACTACTGGTCTAAGAGACAAAGGACTGAAATTTATGCTGGTTTCTTCCCTAAATCAAAACAGATTTGACTTCAAATGTACTGCTTGCAAGATATTCTATTCCACAGCTCGTTTTTACTTTAGACAAAACCAACTTAGTCATTAACACCTGTTTTATGTGCTATGTATCTTCTATTGCAGATGTAACTGATGACAAGAATTACAATTGAGCAAGACTTTATTTCAATAAGGAATTAGTTAGGTACTTACAACTCCACGTTACAAGCGAAATAAAAAAAAAAAAAAAATCTCCTACAGTCTTCGAATTATCAGGGTGCTTCACACCACTAATTTCAGTTACTTGATTCCGTTGCATAATTACTTTTCCAGATAACTAATTGCAGACAAGATTTGATGTGATACTCAATTATTTAATGTCACATTTTGGCCATCGCGGAAGGTTCGCGGTAATTGATTCTCGCGTACCGGGGCGGCCGTGCTGCAGGATTTGGAAATCTCCCTGAGCAGCTGCCTGCTGGCCCTCCCCAGTGCCAGCCTTACCCCTCTGCTAACTTTAGATGTGGAATTGTGACCCTCGGTGATGCTCCCTGCAGGAGCTGCCAGCGAGGCCAGCGATTGTCACATGATGGAGAGATGTTTACCCCGCTCCAGCTCCTGTTTCAGAGCTGCTTCACTTGGCTCTTGGGGATGCTGCTGCTCTCACTGCTTATCTGACCATGCTCAGCTATAAATCCTATTTCTTGGTCTTATCTTACCAAGGAAGAGAAACTCTGCAGTTTAATTACTAAGCAAGCTGACACATCATAGATTTTTTTTTTCCAAAAGATTGTCATTAATTCCAATACGAAACCAGTCACTAACGTTCACAGAGAAATACATAAACAAAAGGTATACATGAGAAAGTGTGCAGTCACAACTCACTTATTAAAAATACTTAATTTCTAAAAAAAAATAAAAGTTCATTTTAACTATTCCTTATTTGTTTCGTCTAGCAGAGTGAGCTGCATTTGAAAAGAAAGCAGATTTCTTTCACCCAGGAATGGAGATTATAAAATGGATTCTGCAAGCTTTACTCAAATGACTCCAGTGGGACAACTGACATAAATACAGACAGTTAAATTGCTCTGTAAAATACCTGGCAGGTTTTTTTGTTTCAGCATGTATATATTTGATAAGATGTTAGAAAAACCTGAGGAGGAAGATTTGCACAGGAAAGTGCAGGCTCAAGGGAAGCTTTTCTGTGATCTATTTTGGGACAGATTTTTTTGAACATTTTCTTTAATTATTTTGGCACAAGGCAACCTGCTGATGAAATTTCCTGATGACACAAAGTTGGAAGGTACTGTCAAAACTGGAAAGGATAAGGACATTACATAGAAAAACTGCTAAATCTTATGGGCTGCATTAATCAAAATTCAATAACACAAAATGCAAGATCATGCTCCTCCTAATGACAGAAACTTCAGAGCTAACCTCAGGAGGAAGAAAAGCAACATCTCATTGCATCTGTTTAAAGAATTTGAGATGCTAGTGAGATGCAAACAGGAAAAGGAAAACCATCAGTATTTCTTAATTTTAATTCTTAATTATTTCTTGATTTCTTAGAGGTACTTCCAACAGAATACAGTTCTCTTCATCCACATTAAACACACACACATAAAAAGGCCAAATTCAAATACAACCATTGTGTTGTGTAAATTCCTATTTGTGTTCAGGGGAATGGAACAACTCTGTTGCAACAGAAACCTAAATTTGATTTGTTTATCCCAGCAAAGCAATCTGTGAATAAGGAAGAAAACAGTAGGAGGAAGAGACTAAGCTAAGGACAATCCTGACACTCTAAAAATCCAGAAAAACCTAGTTATGAATAAATTTAGGCTGAACATATTTTTCCAAGTTCGGGGGTTTTTTTTGAAGTATTTTGGTCTTGTCTAGTGAGGGTCTAGAACAGCCTTCCAAATCCACAGCAACAGAAAAGGGTGGCTTTTAACAGAATATGATGCAAATAGCAGTGGTAGTGTGAACTCAGCAGCTTCCAGGAGGACACTTCCAGCCCTTTGCAAGCAGTATAAACATTGCAGAATAACACAAACATCAAATTTCTGAGAAGCATTGCCATTTCCTACAGTGCGGATAGCAATACACAAAAACAAACGTTGGAAATAAACCGTAATTAGCTGTTTTAATGCAAGGACGCTTTGCTTGCCTCACTATAACAACATGTTATAGTCTGGGTGACATATATATATATATAGTTATATATATGTCTGGGTGTGGGGCACTGCCCTGGTGGCTGGGCTCTGAGGTGATGTCCCATGTGTGCACCAGCTACCTAAGGTCTCACAAACCTCTGGGAATCAAAATCCCAGAAGCACAACAGAGCTTTACTCGCGTCTCTGCCCCAGGATCAGAGCTTCTGCCAATGCCTCTACATCAGCTCAACACATTTCCTCTCCCTCCCAGCCACACAAAAAGGAAATTTCACTAGAGTTTTACAGTTGGCTGTTAGTTACTATCAGTGGTCACTCCTGTTCTGCTGCAATGTGTTGAATAAATGAAATATGACCACTAAGAGTGCTGAGGAATGAGAGAATGAGCCAGAAGAGTATTGGTAAAGCTGAGAGTTCTGCTTCACTTCAGCATGATTAAGGTCAAGCACGGACCAAACCATTTCTGGGAGGACAAAGCCAGAATGGTCAGGACATGGACATGGAGCACCTCTCTGATGTCCCCGGTGGTGCCAGCACCCATTTCCTACCCACTGATGCAGGGCTCCTTCTCCCTGCAAAAAATTCACTCTGTGTGTGGGTGGAAATGGGGAGATCATCTATTTTAAACAACTACACAGCTTCCATTTCCATTGCCTTCTAGAAAATGCTGTTAGGAAAAACCAAACAAAAGCCGTGTTAAGCCATTTTCAGTGTGTTCATAGAGGGTATGCTACTTTCAGCTGTTCCCAAGCCCTAGTTGGCTTTGGTTTCTTTCATTAAAAATTGTAATGGATTTTCTGAAACTAAAAATTGATTTCAGCAATGAGAGAGGAGGAATGAACAAGAAAGGCACATGAACGCTGGCTTTAGATGTAAAATGTATATACACAAATAAAATGCACAATCTTATTTGTTTCAACTATGCAGAACTTTGAAAAAGGCAGGTTTTATTAACGAAAAGCTGCTTTTAAAGGTGAAGAGCATAGCTTAAGCAAGGCAGGGTAGGAGTAGGTGGTTACAAAATTCATATGTACTTCAGGCCCCGCAATCTAATACCAAAGTCTCATGTTTTAGCACAGAACTGAAGTACTGACAGGAGCGTTCTAATAGCAATTTCATTGAAGGTTTGCTAAAAAAATCATTTAAATGGGAAGGAAATAGAGACTGCTGTACAGTATAGATGCACAGATACAGAAATAAAGCTAAAAATATGCCTGAAAACTGTACTACACATTCAGGAAGAACAAGAAAAATGAAAATGGTGCAAGAAAGATCAGATTTTTGATTCCACCTGCATATAAGCTGTAAATGGCACATTAGACAATGACCAAAATACTTTCCCAGACAAAAGCAGATGCCTAAGTTTTGCTATGGTACGAGGTGGGAAAAAATAAAAAAAAGAAAAAAAGACTTGAGCAACTTCCCTGGGGCCACAATGCCTGGAAAAGGCAGATCCCTGCAATGCAGTCATCAGCCAATCAATGATGTATGCTCTAATCAGATTCTGACAGAAGTAATCTATTTAGACCATCTTTCTGCCAAATAATTAATTCTTCTTAATGCCTGTATCTAGTTCAAAATACCACAAACAATAGTTCTTCCAAATGCTGCACAACACCAACGAACTTCAAATAATTTCTGCTTCCTTCCTACACTGGCCTCACTTTCCTGTCTCTCAGACCATAAATAATTCAGGTACCACTTTGGCACCCTCTTCAGAGCTTATGCTATGGCATATTTAAATCTTTCAAGTTCAAGTCTCCCATTTCTGATCACATTTTCCATTGTCCACATGTTCACCATCTTCTCTTTAAGGTTTCTCAGAGGTTTTCTGGTATAAAAAACCCAAAAACTGAAAGGAAAAATTGGTTTCTGAGTCTCCTGACAATTTTCCTCATTCACAGCAACTTTAGATTATTGTCTCTAAAAAAGGATTACCAGCCATCAGCAGCACAGATGCTTTGAAAGAGAAGGTGAGCTGCTGTTGATTAGCATTGCCTGAGGTGATCTGGCATTAAAGGAAGTATTGACAGGCAGAAAAAGCTGTCCTGCACATCTCCCCCCACCCTCCACCTTTTTCAAGCATGTGGGAGACAGCATATTTACAATTAACACATTTTTCTTCTGAAGTTAAAGTTGCCATTGAAAAATTACATTTGCATCTAACAATTACATTAGCTCTTGTGAGCA